TATAATGATAAATTCAGAAGACGCTATAACAAATGATCATTCTACAATCAAATCTCTAAATAAAACAGCAACTGAAACAAATGTATCAATAATAGCTAGTGAAATAGCAATTGCAAATAAAATTAAATTAAATAATAATAAAAAAAGATAATTTAAAGAACACTTTACCAATTGAAGAACAAGTTCCAATAATGTATGGAACAAAAAGCATCTCGAAAGAACCATTAACCAACACGACTTCAGGTGTTCCAAACAGGGAAACACCAAAATTAGCTCAAGCAAAGTATTTACAGCAACAAATATACCAGCTTCAACAGCAGCTTGAAAACCTATACAATGAAGAAAATGAAACACTCCGCGTTAACGGATCCAATGCAAATACTCAAAAGGGAAATGCAGGCTCAAACGCTACTCCAATAAACATCAAAAATAACACTAGGCAAAGAAAAGATGAAATTAAAATAAAACAACAGGCAATGCAGACAGGTATGGATCGCTATGTGAACATAATGAGCAAAAGAAAACGTACTCCTGAAAAGCCAAAAGTGAACAAAGTCACCAAATTCCAAGAAGATCAAACCTCAACAACTCCACTCAGAAACAATCGTTTCTCCGTGCTGGCTAATGAGAATGAACCAAGTACTAGCAGTAAACCCACAACTGAAAAACTCAAACCTCCACCAATTTATTTGCGCGAGCGTAGCTCAAAAGTACTTATTGAGTACTTAGCTCAACTGGTAGGAAATAAAAATTTCTATATTGTACCTCTTACAAAAGGTAATGTGCACGAAACTAAAATTCAAGTAGACAACGAAGCAAACTATCGTGATGTTGTAAGAGACCTACAAGCTAAAAATAGGAACTACTACACGTACCAACTTAAAAGCAGTAAGGGTGTTTCTGTGATCATAAAAGGAATCGATCCCAACGTTAACACTGATGAGTTAAAAGAAGCTCTTGGTGTGCTAGGATTTCATGCCAAGTCAATTATTAATATAATTAACAGGGACAAAATTCCACAACCAATGTATAAGGTTGAGCTGCTGCCAAATGCCACAAAACTAAAGAAGAATGAAGATCATCCAATCTACAAATTAAGGTACTTGTTAAACTATAGAGTTTCTGTGGAACCCCCTCACCCACGGAATGGACCTGTACAATGCGCCAACTGCCAGGAGTTTGGCCATACAAAAACCTATTGTACGCTGCGCCCGGTATGTGTTGTGTGTGGTGAACTTCACCATACTTCAGAATGTGACAAAAAAGATAATAAAGATAAAAAGGTAGTAAAATGTAGTAACTGCAATGGTAACCATACCGCAAATTACAGAGGGTGTCAAGTCTATAAACATCTTAAACAAAGTCTACTCTACAAAAGACAAGCCCTCCGGGACCCCAAAAATAATATGTTCTCAACAAACACTACTGTCTCCAATGATTCTTCTTCCAACAGGGCGATTCAAGGCGTCACATATGCGAACGTATTAAAGTTAAATGCCCAGCAGGAACAACAAGTTCCAGTTCAACAAACTCCAGTACAACAAGCTCCAAGCAGTAATTTTGAAATGATGTTTTCACAGTTCATGCAAACCATGCAAACTATGTTCAACCAAATAATACAAATGCAATCGCAATTGATGTCAGCGATTTTAGCCAGGTAATGAGTAGCATAAAAATATGTGCATGGAATGCAAACGGCATAAGCCAACATAAATTAGAAATTTTGAATTTTTTAAACCAAAATGAAGTTGATGTGATGCTCATCTCTGAAACTCACTTAACTAATAAAAACTACTTTTTTATACCAAACTATATATTTTACAAAACAAATCATCCTGACGGCAAAGCACATGGAGGTACGGGAATTTTAGTCCGAAGAAGATTAAAACACTATTTTGTGAACTCATGTGCTGAAAATTTCCTTCAAGCAACTTCAGTGTGCATACAATGCTTTACCTACAATCTTACCCTATCAGCAGTGTATTGCCCCCCTCGCTTTATACTAAACGAAATGCAGTACCTTGCATTCTTCAAAACTTTGGGAGAAAAATTCATTGCTGCAGGAGACTACAATGCAAAACACACTTTTTGGGGCTCTCGGCTCTGCAATCCTAAAGGTCAAAAACTCTTTAACGTGGTAACAAACAAGAACAACAAACTAGATGTCGCATCACCCGGGCATCCTACGTATTGGCCATCAGACAACAACAAAATCCCAGATCTTATTGATTTCGCTGTAACGAAGGGTATTCGTCGTGACTTTATTTCGGTGTACACAAGTTATGAATTATCATCGGATCATTCTCCAATCTTCCTAATAGTTCATGAAGAACCCCAACTAATTCAAGGTTCACAAAGACTTACAACTCAAAAAACAAACTGGCTGAAATTTAAGAAATACATAAGTACTCACGTTCATACCAATTACAAAATTAAAAACAAATACCAGGTGGATGATGCAGTACAAGTATTCAACATGATTCTTTCCTCAGCTGCCGAAATTTCTACATCACAAAATTTGCCTTCTCAGGTAAGAAAGCAGCATTTTAGCAACAGTGAAATCGAAAGACTTCTAGCCGAAAAAAGAAAACTTCGTCGAGAATGGCAACAAAATAGATCCCCATCAACCAAATCTAAATTAAAAGAAGCCGTAAATCGACTAAAGACCGCTCTTGCAAGAGACAAAGAAAACAAACAATACGAATATATTAAGAAGCTGTCCCCAAACACGACTAACAAAGGATCACTCTGGAAGGCTGATCAAACTATAAAAACACCTGTCGAAGCAGTGCCTCCGTTAAGAAACTTCAGCGGTGAATGGGCGCGGAGCGACGAAGAAAAAGCTAATGTATTTGCTAACCATCTCAGTCAAATTTTTCAACCAAATCCCTCCAATAATTTGAATTTACCAGCTCAACATATTAACAATAATATTATCAACTTACAAATCTCCGCAAACGATATCAAGGTAACCATCAAAGAAAAACTTGTCTGCAAAAAAGCACCTGGACATGATTCTATAACTCCAATTATGTTAAAAAATCTGCCCTTCGTAGCAATCTCATTCATTACAAAGATTTTTAACGCCATAATAAAATTTGGACATATCCCGACGGAATGGAAAAGAGCGTTAATTATAATGGTTCAAAAGCCCGGAAAGGATTCAACACTAGCCGCATCATATAGACCTATAAGTTTGATGCCTTGTCTGTCAAAATTATTTGAGAAAGTGTTCCTTGCAAAACTTATGCCTTTCCTCCAAGATAGAGACTTGATCCCAAACCATCAATTTGGATTTCGTCAAAAACATGGTACTATCGAGCAAGTGAACAGAATAACTAACGAAATAAGAAGTGCTTTTGAAAATCGAGAATATTGCTCTGGTGTCTTTTTAGATGTGGCACAAGCGTTCGACAAAGTATGGCATGAGGGCCTGTTACACAAAATACGACAAGTACTCCCGCAAAACTCACACGCAGTACTTCAATCATACTTGATAGGCAGATCTTTTAAGGTAAAGTACAATATGCACACAACTAATGACTTTCCAATAATTGCAGGAGTTCCACAAGGCAGCGTTCTTGGTCCATTCTTGTACCTTATCTTTACTTCAGATATCCCTACAAATACCAATTTAGTAATATCAACATTTGCTGACGATACCGCTATTTTGTGCCGACATAAGAATGCCGCTATCGCTTCCAGTCAACTGCAAAATCATTTGTACTCCATTGAAAGCTGGTTATCACTATGGCGAATTAAAGTCAATGAGCAAAAATGTCGTCATACAATATTCTCTCTTAACAGATCCTCATCACCAACTATCACTCTCAACGGAATAGTAATTCCGCAAACAGAAACAGTGACATACCTTGGTATTCACCTTGACAAACGCTTAACTTGGCGGAAGCATATTGAAACAAAAAGGACTCAAATGAAGCTCAAAGCTTCAAGCCTTCGCTGGTTAATCGGTCATCAGTCTCCCTTATGTTTAGAGTACAAAGTCTTGTTATACAACCAAGTTATTAAACCAATCTGGATGTATGGCTTACAGCTATATGGCAATGCCTGTTCGTCAAATGTAGAAATCCTGCAAAGAGCTCAAGCAAAGATCTTAAGAATGATAACTGGTGCACCCTGGTATATCAGAAATGAAAACATACATTTCGATTTAAGAATTCCGATGGTTAAAGTCGAATTCGAGAGAATAAGGCAGAAACATATTTCTAATCTTGAAAACCATATAAATCCGCTGGCTAGACCTCTTGCTAATATGACTACTTCCTCTAGGCTAAAACGGAACGATAGACCCGCCATCCTACTTTCCTAATGATCATCCTGATTAATTCAACTTATACACCGTGATATCTGGTAAATAAGCCCTGGCTACTTATTCAGAGGCCCCTTGAAATAATTTACAAATCATTATATGTATCATTATAGTATGTTTATATAAAATAATTTGTAATGTAATGTTATTAGTCTTTAAGATTCTAAAACTTATTGTTAGGCTTTAATTTAAAGCGATTCAATAAAGATATATAGTTAAAAATAAAAAAAAAAAAATCCTGTTATTTTGTATGCAGTTCACAGGGTTCCTGTTCGTAGGAGTCGCTATCCCCGCGGTAGAGCACTCCCGGTTGTCGTTTCCTACATGTTTTCGGCAATAGTCAATGCTACATATCCCAGAATAGTATTGTTCGTCCTTAGCATCTACTGGCAATATGACCGCATTGTTCACAGCGACGACAGGCCAATTTGACAGGCCGGTTATGAGTGCTGTTCCAGACGTATCATTTCAAAGTTTTCGGCTAATGCCATTAATTCCTCCAGATTCCCAAAATCATGCTGCGTAACATATAATTGGAAGTCTGTTCTTGAATTTCGATATATCCGATCCTATTGTTGACAAACATTGAACTCGGCATGATGCATTAGTTCTGCATGGTAATAACGTAGTCTGAAATTTTCGCGTTGTTTTTGCTAGCTTATCTTCTAGCTTATCTTGCTAGTAGAAAAGATTTGAGAAATATCTTGTTATAATTATAATAATTAACACAATTTTGTGTTACATTATTTGTTTATTTATATATATATAAATAAACAGGTATATTAGCTAAAATTATTAGAACACAGTCTTCTATATTTATATAAAAGATTTCAAATAAATATTCATTGGCTTACCAACTAATGTTAATACTAAGCTGACAGTCACATACGCTATCAATACTATTACTAGTGAGCCAACAATAGCTTTAGGTATACTCTTTTGCGGATTATGAGCTTCTTCGCCAGTTGTGGCGATTATATCAAAACCAATAAATGCATAAAAACACGTCGCAGCACCGGAAAACACCTGAAACAAAAAAAAAATGTTATGCGAATAAATTAAGTTTCTAATTGTAAAGTATAAATAAGATATGTGCACAAGATACTGCACAAAAGATAGTTCAGGTCGCATGTATGGTATAGCCTATCCATAATAATAAATATGCATATAATATATGTAAAATAATAACTTAATAAAAATCAAAGATGTGATAAATGTCAATAAATTCATTAATATCTTACACCACTCCAACCGTAAGGAAGAAAACCCTGATGTTCAGTCCATGTGCTTGTATCTACATAAAATAAGCCAGCGGCCATAACAAAAGCCCACGTAGCCAAATTTATCGCATTAAGAGAGTGATTGAATATGACTGATTTACTAGCGCCCATTGCCAGAACACAGGTCATAACTAGCGTAATGCCAAATGCTATAAAATCTGGTGGTTTGCCTGAAGATATTATTTCAAAAAATTCATTAAAAATTGAAAGATGTTATTTACAGAAATAAATTTCATCAGATGTAAGATATAGTATAAATCGCTTACCAAATATTGTACCAATTGAATCTGTTGTGATGCTGGTAATTGCACCGCCAGTTAAAGAGTCAAAACTCGAACTCAACGCACATGCACAGGCACTTGTTCCTTTTAGAATGAAAGTTTTAAATTAAGGTTTAAAAGGACATAAGTGAATGACATAGTTAACCTATTAAATACTCCAATATCATATTCCAACCAATTATGAATGCAACAAATTCACCAACTGCTACATATGAATACATATATGCGGAACCAGAAGTATTAGGAACGCGGACACCAAATTCAGCATAACAAGCTCCTATATAAAAGATGACAATATATTATTTTTATTTAACATATTTCACTGGATTACTTATACTTTCTATGTATAAAAACATACCCGAAAATATACTCGCCATTGCAGCTATTAAAAAGCTTATAATTACACCTGGTCCCGCCATGTTTTTTGCAACCATTCCCGTTACTAAATACATACCAGTGCCACAGCACGATCCAATTCCAAGTGAAGTTAAATCCAAAGTATTAAGGCATTTCTATTTAGTACAAAAATATGCGTTTATGATTGCCAAAAATATTATATCTTTTTGGGTCTTACTGTTAATTTTGGTTTCGTGGACTGTGTACTTCCATCCTGTAATTGCTTAACATCTTTTGTGCGTATTAGCTTTGGAAGCAGACTAGTTGAAGAGACACCAGGCGGTAATGGAACTTTGTTTTTTATCTATTTTTTATTGAATGAATAAAATATAAATTTTTAATTGGTTTCAAATATAAATGAGTGTAAGATTAGACTTAAAAATGGATGAAGTTTACTATAAATTAAAATATTTATGGGTAGTGACGAGTTAGGTATATTATAACCTAACCTAACCTAACGAGTTTTTTGCATTATTGTTGTTACAGCTGAAGCTGCTTATATCATGATTTAAACTGTTTGTAAATCACTTATTAGTGAAGCTCTTCAACGAAGTAACAAAAAACTAAATTAATTTACTTTTTAAACACAAAGAGTTTCTTTGTATTACCAACACGTTTTTAGTTTTTATCGAAATTGTACAGACTTTAAAAAAAAAAAGAATAACGAAAAAGTATATCACTGACGTTACTGTACTATAAGCTTCTTTTATATAATCACTGTATGGGTGTTGAATGTACAAACTAATCTATTATAATGCAGCGATGTCACAACTTAAACGTGTCAAGTACTATTCATATTCATATTTTTTTTTCTATTATCAACAACAACTATTTTATCACACAATGTATCCCAGTGGTAAAGGAAATGGAGGCCTTGCGGTCCTCATAAGGATATCGATAAAACATTATGAAGTAAAACCATATTGCACGAATGAAATTCAGGTAACAAACATCGTAGTACAAACTAATGAAGGCGACATGACTTTCTCATCACTCCACAGCCCACCGCGCCACAGTATATCGAAGGATGTGTACATATCATTTTTTCAGCTGCTTGGATCTAGGTTTCTAGTAGGCGGAGATTTTAATGC